TAGTCGTTAGTTAAATGGTTTTTTGTCAAAATGATCGGACCTATTATATATATAGTAATTTTTAATATACCATATATTTGTCTGGTCAATATTACATTGATCATCCAACCTTAGAATAGATTTTCGCTATTATTATTACTCGTCATGGAACTTGTTCCTTCTGGGTGAATGCATAAATAAAAAAAAACCGATTATATATGGGGCATTTGTAGTAGAAAAGGCCCAAAAATATCGATATCATTTTGAATTTATCCAGAAATTTTTAGTGGGGTTGATTAGTTAACGAACGTTAATTCTTCGGGTGTAATGTAGGGATGGGATCGGTTGGTGGAACTTACGTGGATGTGAAACTGAACAAACTAATTATCTATACAGTAGACTTCTCTAAAGCAAAGCCTTTAAAATTATTACCTGTTGTAAAGCCATACTCGGAATTTTTGTTATTTAGAAAGGTATCAAATCCCACAGCTAACTTAACTGCAAATTAAATCAAATATTAGAATTAGCTCATGAGCATGAAGCACAAGACGTATTTATTTTTAAGCATATACTCGTAATAATATTGTTATAATGTTATATGTCAAAAGTCGAAGACGAAACGAAAAGTTTTTAGAAGCAGTTGAACTATTACGAGCGATTATAATTTTTATGAGAATACTTAAACAGCAAGATCTGAAGCCTCAAAAAAGAAATATAAATCCTATTATATTACTTGGAGAAAAAATATTTGATGAATCTGGTAGTTTTACATTTGGTTTTTTCGTAAAAAATAGAACAAACCCAAATCTAATTTACATGGTTACTGCAGGACATTGTGCTTCTCTGGGCAGTGACATTTTTTATGGTGGAAGGGTAATTGGGAAAGTAGATTCATGTAACACTTACCCAATCGAATATAGCTTAATCAGGATAGCAGATGATAAAATCAAACCAACAGCAATTATAAAGAATATAGATTCAACTATACATAATGAGTTATTTATCAAAGACGTTATAGCTCCATCTAGTTATGGCGTTCATTCATGCAAATCTGGCCCTGAATCACATGTTTCCTGTGGGCATGTAATATCATTAGATGTACATTTTATAAATGAAATAGGTCCCGGGAAAATACAACGCACGTTCATGACAGATATGATCTCTATTAATGGTGATAGTGGTGCGCCTATATTTTCTTATTCACCGGATTTATACACCGTAAGTCTAAGTGGTATACTTGATGGAGGAGGTGACCAAAGCACAACTGTTACATCGGTAAAAGACATTCTCGAACATAGTAATTTAGAGCTTATAACGTATACTAATAATTAAAATATTAAAGTTTCTCAAACAATTTGAGATTCTTGAACATTATGGTTTGGCTAGTATTAATGATATATTTTTAAAAACT